AAAAAAAAAAAAAAAGACAAGAATGTGGAGTGCAGAAGTTCATGGTGCTGGCATATAACATATAGGAACAGGAAGAGGAAGAGGGCTGGAGCCTGGACAGATAAAGCCTCTGCCAGAGTGGACACCACCTGCTGGCCTCCCAGCATGTGCTGCTTAGCCCCAGACAGCCTTGAGGCTCCAGTTCTAGGATTAGCAGATTTCAGGGCTGGATGCTTTCACACAGGTCTCCTTCAGTCCTCCTGTGGCTAGGGAAGACAGAAGATGCCACACAGAAACAAGGAACAGCCTTGGGCCAGCTCTTTAACTTTGCTTAGCCTCCTTTGTAAAATGGAGTATGAAAATAGGATCGTGCAGAGGCTTTTCTTTTATAAAGGCAGAGAGTGAGAAGGGAGCCCTAGTTGTTAACTCAGAAGGGCTATGGGCCTTCCCTAGGGCAGCTTGGGGCAGGGATTCCACCCTTTGAAGTGGTTTCCAAGTAGAACTGAGCCATTGGAAACTCACTCAGAGGCAGCCAGCCCAGGCAGGGGCTGCTCACAAGGGACCAGAGGACAGGTGTGCCTAGTGAGGGAGGCCTGCCATGGCTTTAGTACCTGTTTGGTTTTGTTTGTTTGTTTTTGAGACAGAGTCTCACTGTATCGCCCTCGGTAGAGTGCCATCACAGCTCACAGCAACCCAAAGTCTTGGGCTTAAGCAATTCTCTTTCCTCAGCCTCCCAAGTAGCTGGGACTATAGGCGCCCACCATAAACACCCAGCTATTTTTTGGTTGCAGTTGTCATTGTTGTTTAGCAGGCCTGGGCCGGGCTCAAACCCGCCACCTTTGGTGTATGTGGCCGGTGCCCTACTCACTAAGCTACGGGTGCCAAGCCCTGTTTTTGTTGTTTTGTGTTTTTTTTTTGAGACAGAGTCTCATTCTGTCGCCCTAGATAGAGTGCTGTGGTGTCAATGGCTCACAGCAACCTCAGACTCCCTGGGTTAAAGTAATCCTCTTGACTCAGCCTCCCGAGTAGCTGGGACTATAGGTGTCTGCCACAATGCCTGGCCATTTTTTATATTTTTAGTAGAGATAGGGTCTTGCTCTTATTTAGGCTGGTCTTGAACTCCTTAGCTCAAGCAATCCATCCACCTCAGCCTCCCAGAGTGCTAGATTACAGGCATGAGCCACTGCATCTACCCTAGGATCCATGTTTCTTTTGCAGAAAACACACCATTTCATTTACTGCTCAGACACTGGTTGGGCTGTGGGCGCCGAGGAGTCTGACTTTGAGGGCTGGGCCTTCCCTTTCCCGGGAGTGATGGTGATAGAGGATTTTGTGACCCGGGAAGAAGAAGCTGAGATGGTTCATCTCATGGACCGGGAGCCCTGGAAGCTGTCCCAGTCTGGACGGAGAAAACAGGTAGGCCAGGCCTGAGCTGGACCGGGCTGCAGGAACAGTCTCACTGCTCAGAGCTCTATAGCCATACCCCACACACCTTTATGGTTGGTAGTGGACAAGGCTCCCTGACCCTGGGTTTGTGGGCAGCTAGGGTCTCTGCAGAGTGTATGCGTTTTAATTCTAAGACATTTTCATCACTTATAAAGAAACCCATCCCTTGGCACAGCACCCATAGCACAGTGGTTATGGCGCCAGCCACATACACCAAAGCTGGCGGGTTTGAACCCAGCCCAGGCCAGCTAAACAACAATGATAACTGCAACCAAAAAGAAAAAATAATGGGCGGGCCTTGTGGTGGGCCTCTGGCATCTGTAGTCCCAGCTACTTGGGAGGCTGAGGCAAGAGAATCGCTAAAGCCCAAGAGTTCAATGTTGCTGAGAGCTGTGACACCACGGCACTGTACTAAGGGTAACAGAGTGAGACTCTGTCTCAAAAAAATAAGTAAATAAATAAATAAACCCTATCCCCATTAGCAGTCACACCTCATTCCCACCTTCCCTGGCACCCACTAAGCTGCTGTCTCCGTGGATTTGCCTGTTGTGGATATTTCATACAAAAACAGAATGGTACCGTGTGTGACCCTTAGTGTCTGGCTTCTTTCACTGAGCAGTGTTTTCAAGGTTCATCTGTGTTAAGTCATCCACATGTCAGTGCTTCATTTCTTTTGTGGCTGAATAACATATTCATTGGATATATATTCTTTTTTTTTTTTGAGACAAGAGTCTCAAGCTGTCGTCCTGGGTAGAATGCCATGGCATCACTGCTCATAGCAACCTCAAATTCTTGGACTTAAGCCATCCTCTTGCCTCAGCCTCCCAAGTAGCTGAGACTACAGGTGCCCGCCACAACACCCAGCTATTTTTGGTTATAGTTGTCATTGTTGTTTGGTGGGCCCGGACTGGATTCGAACCTGCCAGCTCTGGTGTATGTGGCTGGTGCCTTAGCCACTTGAGCTACAGGTACCAAGCCTATCCATTCATTTCTTGATGGACACTTGGTTATTTCTACTTATTTTTGAGACAGAGTCTCACTATGTTGCCTTCAGTAGAGTGCAATGACATCACAGCTCACAGCAACCTCAAACTCCAGGGCTGAAGCGATTCTCTTGCCTTAGCCTCCCAAGTAGCTGGGACTGCAGGCAACCACCACAACACCTGGCAGTTTTTTTTGTTGCAGTTGTCATTGTTTTTTTAGCTGGCCTGGGCCGGGTTCAAACCCACCAGCCTCGGTGCATGTGCCTGGCGCCTTAACCACTGTGCTACAGGTGCTGAACCAGATTATTTCTACTTTTGTTGTGAACATTTGTGTTCATATTTTTGTTTAGATAAAGGTTTGCAGTTCTCTTGGGCTTGTGCCTGGAGTGGAGTTGCTTGGTTGTGTGGTCCATGTTCCTACTTAACAGTTGTGGACCTCAGCTGACCTTGGCATTGACTTCTCAATGCCACTGCCTTGGACTAGCTTCCCCTCCTGTGCTGTTCACAATTCCTAGATCCTCACTTCTTGAGATTATATCCTAGAACAAATGACCTGCACACGGGCCTTTTGTGTAAAGCTCTGCCTCTTGGGGTACCTGCACTAAGATGCTAACATGTCACATTCTCCTTCCCTGCTTTAGTCTTTTTCTTAGCATCTGCCATCTGATGTTTGCTGTTCATTTCTAACTCCTTGGTGTCTGTCTCCTCCTGCTAGAATGTCCCATCTTTGAAGTCAGGGCTTTTGCTTTGCCATGGTCATTTTTTTTTTTTTTT